GTGGTAACTCGATCGTGTATGCATTGCCTAGGCGGTGCAATACACGAAATGGGCCAATGTACTTGGGTAGTAGTTTACTGCTACCCAAGTTAGTCACTACATGTTTTGGTAGATTAACCGTAGACAGTAGGACTAAGTCACCTTTATTAAATAAAAGAGTGTTTGCCCTTCCATTCTTGTCAGCGTTTTGCTTTTGCTTATCCACCGCTTCGGCGATGGAGTCTTGCACAAAACGGACTACCGTTTCACGAGCCAGTATGAACTCATCTGATGACTCGTTAGCTTCAGTGTGCTGTGAGCGCACTGCAGCGACAACAACCTTTTCTTCAGTGAGGGCTTCCGCACTCTCACTGGGATCATTGTCTTCAGTGAGGGCTTCCGCACTCTCACTGGCATCATCTTCTTCGATATCGATGTTATCGATATCGGCATCAAACGCAATGACTTCTTCGTCAGAGCGTGATGAGCGTGAACCAAATCGGTTTTTACTCGCGCGAGTCCCCCCCCCTTAAACCAGAGTTACACTCTAGTAAGGTGGGTACACGCGGAGGGCGTAAGCCATTCACGTAAAACGATGTATGTGCCGTGGACGCATGCACCGAGTTGTTTATGGCAAACTCTACCATTGGCAAAAACTCACTCCAACTCTTAAAGGAGTGTACGTATCCTCGAAGTATCTCTTCAAGGACACTATTGGCACGTTCCGTCTGACCATCTGACTCTGGATGATTAGATGTCGACATCTTCAAGCGCGTTCCGAGTGATTTGAACACGGAACGCCAGAAATCAGCAGTGAATCGTGGATCTCTGTCTGATACGAGTTCACGGGGCAACCCATGAAGTCGGAAGATGGTGTCAATAAAGACACAAGCACAGCCACTTGCCGTGATTGTCTCTGGTACAGCCACAAGGTGTACCATTTTGCTGAATCTGTCAACAAATACGAGAATATCCGTATTCCCGCGTGCGTCTTTGGGTAACCCGAAGACGAAATCCATTGAGATGGATTCCCAGCACTCAGCCGGAACCGGTAGAGGCTGTAAAGGTGCACGCAGTGAAGGACTTGACTTCACTCGTTGACAGACTTCGCATGCGCGAACATACTTTCGCACAAACTGATACTGGCAGGGCCAGTAAAAGTCTCGACTTACCGTGAGATATGTTTTCTCTCGGCCACGATGTCCTCCTATAGGAGCATCTTGATACTCGAACATGATCCGCAAACGCAGATCAGTATCATCTGGAATGACAACACGTGGTGTGTCACCAGAAACGGCTGTATAATACAGTAAACCGTTACGAGCAGTGTATCGATCTGATGCAGATCGATACGCAGACGACAATCGTTTCAACGATTCTCGAGATGGTTGGGAGAGATGTGTCAACAACTTCACAATCTCACCATCTTGGGCGTATGCCCGCCTCACATCATACAACGTTGTAGATGGAACTGAGGACGTCATAACCGCAACAGTGACTGTCTCACTGTTGGGTTTCGCGACTGTTTCAAAGTCGGGACGACGTGAGAGTGCATCAGCGACGAAATTAAGTCGTCCTGGTTTGTACTCGATCGTAAAGTTGTATTCTGCAAAGAATGACAACCACCGCGCCATTCGTTGTGAAAGGTGCGGGCTGTTCACTGCCGTGCATAATGACGCATGGTCAGTGTAAAGAATGAAGGGTAATCTCCTAATAGATAGACTCTGAACTTCGCGAGTGCATACTTCATGGCAAGGAGTTTCTTGTCATGCACTGGATAGTTCTGCTCAGCTGGTTGCAGCTGACGCGACTGATAGCAGACGACGCGTTCAACGCCTTCAAGATCGTACTGCATGAATGCACAGACGATTGCGTAATCACTGGCATCGCAGACCACATGAAATGGCCTGTCCTGATCGGCTATTGCTAGGACTGGGGATTGTATCAAGCTCTGCTTGATACCCTCAAAAGAGCGCTGACATTCAGCGTTCCATAACCACCTCTCGTTCTTTTTCAACAAACGAGAGAGGTGCACAGTCATCTCGGCGTAATTGCGTGAATACTTATGCAAATACGCCGCTAGCCCAAGGAATTTTCGAAGACCTTTGACATCAACCGGCACTGGCCAGTCGGTGATCACCTTGATCTTTTCAGGATCAGGACGTACACCGTTCTTACCAAGGCTGCACCCAGGAAAAGGTATTTCGCTTGCTGCAAATATACACTTCTTGAGGTTTGCATACAATTGATGCTTTCGCATGATTGTAAGAACCTGTCGGACGTGGTACCAGTGAAATTCAACGTCCGACTTTCCATTCATAGCTCGACTATGGATGAATACGTCATCGAAATAACTCGGCGCGAATTCTCGTACTGGTCTCAACAGATGTGATACACATCTGTTGAACGTGGCAGGGGCATTACTGAGCCCTTGTGGCATTACTAGCCATTCCCAGAGCATGCCGCTAGGCGTGCTAACTGCGGTATAGGGTATATCCCGTTCCCGCATAAGGATTTGATAGAAGCCATCCATCAAATCCATGGACGAAAAGATGGTACTCTTTGACATACCATCAATGATTATGTCCTTCCTCGGTATCGGCGTCTGAGCCGGTACCGTTGCAGCGTTCAATTTGTTGAACGCGTGCACTATCCGCCACCCTCCTGTTGCTTTTCGCACACAGAAGGTCGGAGAGCTATGTGGGGAAGTTGATTCCCTCAAATGGCCCGCAGCTAAACGATCGGCAAAGAACTTGTCGATCGCAAGTACTTGTTCACGAGGCAGTGGCCACTGCTTCATGACACAGTACTTCGAGCCTGGTTTAAGCTCGACCTCGTGTCGAATACCTTTATCCTTCGGTAATTCGCACGGAACAGTTTCAGGGAATACATCCTTGAATTCAACCAAATCTTCATAGAGAGGATTTTCCTTGAGCGATTCCCATGATTGGGACTCATATCGCTCAATTCGTGTCTTTTCATCTAGGACACTCTCGTCCATAGATGAACTACTGAGAACTCTCTCGTTCTCAGTAAACACTGTTGCTGACCTTATGTCGGATACACACTCGTCGTCAGCGACGAGTATGCAGATCTGCTTGACTTTGCCACTACGCAGATCACGCAAGAACCTTTTATGTTCGAGCGTTGGCAACTGAGTGGTCTCCGAAGTTAACTTCGGAGGCGCAATCAGATCAAGTGTATAAGCGCCTACACTTGATCCGTTATTGACTATGACATTAAATGTCTCTGTCATTTCCTGGGGACTTATTCCCTCAGGCTTCGAAGGACTTATTCCTTCGTCTTCCCGGGGACTTATTCCCGCGGGTTTCGGGGAACTTATTTCCGCCGTATTTGTAATCTTGGGACTTATTCCCTTTACTTCCTCTAGCTGGGGTTGCGCAACCACAGCGAGATCCTCTACGAAGGACTCTCCAGTCGATCTAGGATTATCGTTTCGCTTAACCTGAACGATCGATTGTTTCTCTTCTAGATGTTCCCCTCTAGGGATACATCTTTGTCCCAGTCCACTCGACTTATTTGAGTGGTGGACCTTCGGCGCAGCCTGTGTTTCCTCACAGCTGCCGGAACTTTGATCCGAAGTGTAATTGTTTGGTACACTAAGGTTTTGTGCAGTCGTACTAACGACCGTACCACAAGTGAGGCCATCGCACTCCCTCGTAGTACATCCACACGCTTGTGGACGCTCCAAAACGTTCATCAGATGGCCATCTGATGAACAAGCGGCAGGCATCGTTACTGTTCGATGTTGCTAGTTTACCCGTGGTTCGTACCTTCTGAGCCACGAAATTCCAAGGATGACATCACATTTGTCATCCAAATCCAATACGATAAAGTCATCGTCATATTGAATATCTTCTAGCGTATAGTGGATCTTCACTATACGCTTCATGACGGTTACGGATGCGCCTGTCGCAAGACGTACCGTCATCCTCGTAGGAGGTGTGTCACATTCACTGAATTTAAAGTGACCATCTTCTAGCGATTGGCGTCGCACAAAATTGTTGGACGCCCCACAATCGACTAGAGCTCAAAGGGACAACTTATTCGTCACTTCGAGTTTCAAGGTAATGAGTGAGACCTCATTACCTAGAGCAGCAACGCACAACGTTTGTGTGTTGGGAGCAACCTTCATCAAGAGGCCTACAAATTCTCTTGACGTTGCTAGACCAGTAGGGTGCTCCGCACCTACTGATCCTGTCCGTTTTTTGACGGTCCATCCCGTTGTTGCGTCTTTGCACCAACTGCGGACCCTCGTCCCTGCCCCTTTCTCATGGGTGGACGGTCACTACGCCCAGTGTCGCGAGACACTGGACGAGGGGCACTACACTCGTAAGCGTAGTGTCCTGTCTTTTGACATCTGTTGCATCTATGCAACTTCTTGTAGCCTGTAGAGCGAGCCTTCTCGCTCTCTACATAACAGAGTTCCATCGGCTCTGGACCTCCGTTGTCATATCGTCTCGGTTGACGAAATGATGTCGAGCTGGCGCGAGCCTGTCTCAGACTGAAGTCTTCCTGCTCCGCAATGGAAATGGCTTGTTCTAGTGAATCTAGTTCAAGCCGGAACAGGTGAGTCTTGACGGGACCATCCGCAAGACCATGCATGAACACCGAAACCAACGTGTGTTCATCCACCGGATTGGAACTTATACAACTCGTAAGATGTCGTATATGTTGGGCGTAAGCGTGCACATCACGCTTACCCTGTTTGAGCTTCAAGAGTTCGGTTCGAGCCCTGAACTCAGCTCTAGGCGGTTCAAACGTTTGTCTGAGCCGCGACTTGAAGACTTCCAACGACCCAAACGCATATGGGTCGTGCAACTTGAGCCCCAGTGCCCAAGTCTTGGCACGTCCTGCCAGATTTGACTGGGCAAATGCAACTTGCATATCCCCGTCGTCGATGCGACGCGCCCTTATGGCGTCATCCAATTCGACGAACCATCTCAAGAGGGAGTCTTCTTCGACCCCCCCCTATACTTGGAGATGTCAATCTTCAAAGTCTAGGGTCGACGCGAGTGCATCGACCCACCAGCAGCAGCCTGCTGCTGTCTCAACAGTTCAAACTGTTGAGCACCCTGTTCTCTCAACAACTCTGCTTGTTGAGAACCTTGTTGGTGAAGCAAGGCTACTTTCTCGCGTTCAGCGTCAAGTTCATTTTGAACGAACTTGGCGATAGTAGCATGTTGGGCATCTCTATTGAGAGCCTCTAGCATGACGCTAACAGCATGGATGCCCATGGTCGAACCCATTCGTTCAACCGCATCCCATTCGACATCGCTCAAATGGGAGTAGCCGTCACGCGTAGCGTGAAAGCTTTGGTCATCTTCATCATCCAACATATTCATGTTGGATGTGAACGCGGTCCTTGGACGGACTACGAAGTGCTACCAGGTGTAACGGGGCACCCTGAAGCTTGTACTGGTGACAGTACAAGCTACTTATTCTGATGACAGAATAAGGCGGTGCCTCGTAACTTCACGTACACTCGTACGTGCAGAGGAAGACGGTAAGAAGAAGCGAGTACTTGGTTAAAGTAAAAAGTAGAACTGTATTTATAATAGTTAATGTCTGCAATAAATCACTATTTATCTTCATCTAACTATGTCTAAATACAAATGTGTAAATCAGTTATCTGCTCACCACTCATTGCGTGCGTCTGTCGTGGCGCGTCTTCGTTGGTTGATATAACGGCCTATATCAACCAATTAGGAACTACTCGTAAGTGCTACAGAATATTTGTCCTTATGACAATATTCTGAGAATATAACTCTTATAGTTATATTCTATTAACAATTTCTTATAAATTGTTATGTAACGATTCACCCCGTTACATGCTGAAATTGATAAGGAGCAAGGGGGAGCTACTTAACAGGGTGCTGGTGTAACGGAGTTACATGACGATTATTGAACCGGTGATGTTGTGTGTTCACGCCAAGTAAAGATCAGTGGATCTGAGTGGTGCAGTATTGGTACCACGTACTTACGGTAATACCGCACCTTATCGGGTACGGATAAGGGATCAGACTTCTGTCATTAGATCGCAATGTAGAAGTCTGTCCGACAAGGTTGAATTGTTTTATTACCGTATTTAAAAAATAAATACAGTTCAATTCTCCTTTTGAATCGTTAACTGCTAGTGCCTAGTCAAGGCATAGCGTGTTGTAAGAGTGTTAGCCTTTTGAAGGCGCTTACTCTTATTTAACTAGTAGTCACTAGTTAGTGTGTGATTCTGTGAACGTAATCCCTTTGGGACCGGGATTATTAATCTTGTACGCTTGAACGACTGTACGTCGTTGTTAGTTTGTTATAATTAAGAGGCTCTTTGAGTCTAAGACGTCGTCTGTTAAGGAGCACTAAGAAGCTCCGCTACAGCTGGTATTTAGGACATAGATAATGTTGGTAATAAAACTGACTCTGTTAAACATTTCGTTAAGATCTTCCTAGCCATGAATCAACGATTCTAGCTTCATGTGAGCGTATTATGCGCTAAAGTGGAGTCAGCACTGAAAAAAACAGGTTTCTTGTGTGTCTTTTATCTGTACAGCAGTCGCAGCCACAAATAAGCTCGTTGATCTTTAGCTCGTTAATCGTCCAGTCAATAACTAGCACTTGAGATCTGTATGGCGCAAATCGGAGCAGAAGGACTTGTGCTCTTATGTTTTGGTTCCTCTTCGTTCGTGATGATGTACGTGATACGCAGACTGTATTTGCGTTTTCAATCTCGATCCATCAGAAGCATAATATCTTGCTATAAATAAAAAGTGGTTTGTGATGTAGCGTTTGGTGGTGTCTCAGTATTGCTACCCCCATTTGACTTCAGACACAAGGGAACGCGGTAATTCCCAAAGAAAATGATAAGCGGAAGTTCTTTGAAATCAACGACGGGAGATACATCGTGAAAAGCCGCACTCTACAATATCTCGTTAGGAATTGAGTGGCGCGAACTGCAGTCAATGAGACAGCACGCACCTGAATGTTCACAAAGTGCTTCATCGTTGTAACGATACTCCATCGAGTCGGCAACTGCATGTGATAAACTGCGACAACTTTCTCGTGCAGTGGGGACCGTACGGTTCTACCGTCGTGATGACAGCACATAACAAATAGCACTCTTTAAGCCCTTAGCACTCTGTTAAGCTCTTGCAAGACAACAAAGGCACCGCGTAGGGGACATTGGATGACAGGATTATATCCTAGTTTGATTCAGTACCACGGTCATCATGAGCTGCTCGTACAGCAATTCTACACGGACTCAGCGTAGCTGTTCATGGCAACTGCCATTTCAATATCCTGGAGGAAAAAGAAAGTCAGCGAAAGACCGACATCCAGTAGTTGTAAGAAACCAAAGTGCTGACTAGAAAAACTTATAAGTCGAATCGCTCACGTTCATCGAGAGGCCTCCACAGTCGTGCGTAGTCAGCGTCACGTCTACGCGATTGTAGACGTTAAACCACTCGGGGTGATGCCCCATCTGCTCAGCCAGCAACGCCGCCCGGTTCATAAAACCCCAGGCCTCATTGAAATCGCGGAACTCAAAGACGCGGCGAATAGCGTCGCGATTAGGGGCGACTTTCCACGCACCCGTGATTCGCTCTAAAGCTGCGACGCGATCCACTTCCGTGAGGAGCGAAGGCGTGGCTCGCGTCGACAGGTCGCGCTTGAGAAAGGGCTTAGGGGGCAGCTGACGCAGGAGATGAAGACGCATGATAGCTGCTCGTGAACCAGGCGTCGGCGTTGTGGACGACTTTCGACCAATGAAACGAGTGCATTTAAAAAAGGGACCTTTTTGCCTGAAGTAACACGAAAGATCACGACGGAAATGAACAATCATGCTACATTCGCTCATTATGAGCACAAATGGGTGGTGGTGCTTTTGTTACAATGGGGGCTACTTCTTGCGGCTCTTGCGCTTAAACGCCTGTAGTTCCTTGCGATACGCATCTTCAATGTGCTTCGACACGCTGCGGAGATCAGTTAGACCCGAGCGCAACGCTTCGTCAGCAGGTGCACCTACCGCATCACGCACGATCGATACAGTTAGTACCACAAAGTACACGAGAGCCAGCCATTGGGTCCATGTCAATAATGACCGCGACTTCTCGATGGTGCGTAGATCATTACCTTGGCGAGACTGCAGGCGGACGTGCATCTTGGGCTCCGAAGGGTGCGGGATCGTGTAGCCGCAAAATTCCACGTCGGGACTAAGAGAACGTGCAAAAAGCAGAGGTCACCCAGTAGTCAGTCCCAAAGTGAGCGAAGACGTGTAGTCCATTTGTTCAGACTTGACACGGTCTCGATAACCGATGGATCACATACTTTCGCATTAAAACGTAGCGCAACGCGTTGCCAAGTGTATGGTCTTCATCGTGGATAACATACGTCTTGGAGTAGTCACTCGTGGTCGAGAACACGTCGAGCTTCTTTGCCGCTGTGGTCATCGTAAATGTTGCCGAGGTCGTCGTCGGATCAGTCTTCGAGCTTCAGCTCAGATAATTTATGACTGACTGACTGGTGGTAGATGGATGGATGGGCCAGCTGGCTGGCTGGCTAGGTTGGGTATCTATGGTGTACATACACCACGTCCGACATCCGTTACAGTAGTAGCCTACGCGGCTGTACCCACTGCCCCGTTTTTGGTCAGCCTACCAACCTACGCATTATCTCATTCGCGCGACTTCAGCGTACCCATCGATCGACCCGAAAAGTCGTGCAAGCGACCGACCTCTTCGAACTCGTGATTGATGTTGACAAGAGCGTCTATCGACCACCGAAGCAGCACTTCTTGTGGACGTGACGTCAGATTGTCGCCATTGACCTTGAAAGACGCGGCACGGGCTGAAAGAGCCAGCGACTACCCGGACACTATCGTCGATGCCGAGGATCAGGTCGCTGGCACTTGTTGTGGAGTATATGCAGACAGTAGTGTAAGCAGTTCAGGGAGTTGTGAGAGCAGTGAAGAAGGTGATGCAATGGACATGTCGCAGTTTTCGTTGGTGGAGCTGCAGGAGCAACTGGGCCAGCGCTTTGTCGAGGGCATGAATCCGTACGTGGAGCAGCTGCGACGGGAAGAGGAATTGGATTCAGGAGACGATCTGATGGATAGCGAGATCGAGATGTCGGGTAGTACTCGAGATGAAGATTTGGAGCTGACGGAGTGGGAGAATCCGTCGTACATGGTGAAAGATTTGGATACGGGCGAGAGCTACCGAGTGGAGGAGATTGACCAGCAGTTTACGCTTGTCACACTGGACTCGGTAGCAGCGCAACATGATCGCGAGTATGGCCACATGTTTGTTGATGGACGAACCGAATTGTACTACTGAGGCTTTTGTGGTGCTGTTGTTGTAGAGAAGAAGAGGAGAAAAGCTCGGAACGAACGACAAACGAGTCAACGTCTTCGTACTTGTTGTCGCTGTATACGGCCGACGAGACGGCGGATATTGAGATCGAAGACGATCTGTTGGACCATGGTGACGAGATGAACGCGAGTGGCTCCATGCGCGCCCGTAGCTCGAACATGATGGTGATCTATGTGCCATGCGATGAGCTGCCGGCAGGCCCACCTGTAAAGTGCACTTTTGCAGCCTGTACAGAGGTACATCAGAGAGTGTCCGGGTACTGTGCAGACCATGAAATGATTGCAATGGAAGAAGAAGATTCAAGAGCTCAGGCGCTGTATTTGATCCCTCATGGTGCGCGGGCGGAACTTGTCACGATTGGCAGCCACGGGTTTGCGTGCGACGCGTCAAACCGATTGTATACCGTGTACGCCATTGAGATGCGCTGTGTACAGTCCGGTGCAACATGGATGATCTACCGCCGATACCAGCAGTTTAAGGAGCTAAATGACCGATTACGTCCGATGGGAGTGCGCGTTCCATTGTTGCCTCCCAAAAAGCTGCTGGGCTCGTTCGAACCGGATTTCATCGCAAAGCGGCAGAGCGAGCTGTCGAATTGGCTACACTGTCTGTTGAACTATGACCGGGTAGATCAGTCAGCCAAGAATCCTCATTTGGTCGATGAGGTGCGCAAATTCTTGACCAGCAAGGCCGACCAGCCACCACTTCTTCTGGACAGGCTGCCACTAAAGCGCTCACGATTCTTCGGTGCATCACTCGCCGATGAAGAAGGCGATGAAATTGGAGAGTTATCCGCGAACCACCGACAAAACGTCACGCTTCAGGATTTCAACATGATTCAAGTCATTGGTCGCGGCTCATTCGGGAAGGTCGTGCTTGTGCGTCACAAAGCGACAAAAACGCTTTACGCGATGAAGATTCTGTCCAAAGAAAACATTGTCCAGCGAAAACAAGTAGAGCACACCCGTACAGAGCGCCGTGTGCTTGGATGTACACGACATCCTTTCATTGTCGGACTCCATTACGCGTTTCAAACGGCGCGGCGGCTGTACTTTGTATTGGACTATTGCCCTGGAGGTGAGCTGTTCTACCACTTGTCTCGCATGAAAAAGCTTCCGGAACACATGGCACGCTTTTACGCCGCGGAGATTACGTTGGCTCTCGAGCATTTACACGGGCTCGGGGTTGTGTATCGCGACCTGAAGCCCGAAAACATCCTGCTCACAAAGGATGGACACATAAAGCTGGCAGATTTTGGACTTGCGAAAGAAAATATACATGGAGGAGCTAATGGCACGAACTCGTTATGTGGAACTCCCGAGTATCTCCCACCAGAGATCCTTGATCGTCTCGGTCACGGAACAGCAGTGGACTGGTGGAACTTGGGCATGGTATTGTATGAAATGCTCACGGGTCTGCCGCCATGGTACACAAATGACCGCAAAAAGCTGTTCGAGCGGCTCCGCTCAGCGAGACTGCATTTTCCGCCGTACATATCTCGGCGGGCTGAAGCACTGATTCGACAGTTGTTGAACCGAGACCCGACTGAACGTCTCGGTTCAAAGGGTGCGCAGCATGTTAAGAGCCATATTTTCTTTGAGGATGTTGACTGGGCGAAAGTCGCGATGAAGCAAGTAACGCCTCCATTTCGGCCGTGTAGGTCGACATCAAACGACGATGAGGCTCCGCTGAATTTCGAGGCAGAATTTACACGTCTTCCTCTGCCTAGTGCTGATGGTGCAGTAACAAGTCCACACAGTGGCCGCGGCGTGAGTGCTTTGGGAATACGCTCGCGACGGGACTCGGACATGTTTAAGAATTTCACGTACGAGAGTCCCGGGTATCTCGAGTCCATAGCGAAGAAGGAGAATGTCTAAATGATTGCCATGCGAGCGTAACAAATATAAGCAACAGCAGAAGCAAAACGAGTGACTGCAGACAATTACACAGGGGCGTAGACGAAAGTGTAAGTCAAATGAGAGTAGCAGCGAAGCAAAGACGTAAACTCAGCAGTACAAATATCTCCGGTGTCAATGGCGCGCCTGTACATACCAAACCAATGATCTTGTAAGCAGACGCACAGTGTAGCTGCTCAGAAGATGCGGTAATGACGTACTAAAAATAGCGTACAGAGCGGGCAGTATCTACGATTCGCAGAGAGAGGATCAGAATGTCAATCAAGTACTTGTGACACGTTCAACGGTCTGCGTGATAATGTCCCTGCTCTATCTACCATGAATGTGTCGTTCTCCTCTTCGCTCGCTCCTTGTGCAGACTCGAGGCGTCGGCCTTCACAAAGGCACATAGTACGAATGTGACAGGTAACTCACCCGAGGGAACTACCATAGAGCCCAGAGGACAAATGGCAGTAAGGTAGCACTCCAGCAGTACTAATAAACCATCTCCACTCGTCCCTATCATGCCCCTCCAATACTGGACTGAACGGACACCATCCCGTTCTTGGCGTACTGTTCTCTTCGAACGGGTTATGACTCAGAAGCGCATGCATCAGAGCACGAGCTTAGCGGTGCCTGGGTACAAAATGTTCGATACTCGATCGACGTGTTCCACGCCTCGGGACGTCGTGCTTCTTGCTCCGCAACTGGCACGCCACGTACAGAAGTAATCCTCCTCCTTTAACCTCGACCTTCCAATGGTGTTGACTACCCCCGTCTCAGGCGAGCGGGTCGGTATGCCTGCTCTTTGAAGGCACTTGTCGCTATGTCGTAGCTGTGTTGTAGTTGACATCAGGAAGTCATAGCGATCGCCCGACGTCCCCCAAACAGGCATCTTCAGCTCAGATATACGGTTTCATCCGGCTTTTTCCCAGTCTGACTCGATCGTCTTATCTTATGGTCCACGTATAAAATCGCAGATGTACGGTCTATGCAATACTTACGACCGAAGATTCCGCAATCATTTGCGAATTCCGAAATACTCAACAGCCGTCATTGGCTCCATCAAAATTCTGCCGTAGTCAGCCGTCGTGCAATACCCTCCAGTGTTATATATTTCCATGCCTATATTCCTCTTGCAAGGTCCATTGCGTTCCACAGCATACCATCGTCGCATTCCAACCACATTGACGACGGCCGTAATCAGCCGTCATCAATGTATTCCTAGTGAGAGATCCCGACCTGTCGTCGTCACCTCCGTGTCGAATCGTCCGTCTGGATGGAAAACCAGCCACAACCCGATGAGCTCTTCATTCTCCAAAGCGCCAGCTCCGGCCATCATCACCAATGGCAGCTGAGGACACGCTGACTCCCATGGACACGATCGAAGGCACGTCTCACGGCGCCACGTGCCGCAGTCTTGAGCCTCCAAGTCTCAAGCGGATCGTCCTTAACCCGCGTGCCTACTTGACGCCGTTCGTCGTGCTCGTTGTCGTCCATCACCTGCCCCTCTTCCTCGCCTACGGACTCATTGACAAGCCACACGAAGGCTACGAGGACTGCACCCGACTCCGTGACCTTTTCCAGTGGCTGTACGTTTCGTTTTTCCACCACCTCGTGCTGGCCGTCATGATGGTGACTGCCGTCGTGTATACGCTCTCGACGCGCGTGTACCACGAACGTCGACCTGAGGTAAGTGGCCGTTCGTTCGTTCGTTCGTTCGTTCGTGGTGGCTGTCGTCGTTCTCAAAGGTTCTTGAACGCTCAGTGGGATACTCACGGTGGCTTTGTATGTGCAGGGCTGGCTCATTCTCATGGTCTTCTTGGGCTATGGAGCCAACGCGGGCTGGTCGGCGTATGGCGAAGCGGGTTTTCGCACCGACACGAGCGTGTGTGGCGACACGAACTGGGAACAAGTTCAAGACCGAGCCGACTTGATCGGCCACTTCCAGCACTTTGACTTTGTGTTCACGCTCACTGTTATTTCGGCAGGCACTTGCATGTCCTATATGTGTGGCGTACATAGTGGAGATAACGTTGCCGAAGCCGAGACACGCTGGCAAAATCGCTGCTTGTGCTGCTTCCACGCGTTCACGTGTCATAAGACGGTAGAGCACGAAGGAGACGATGACGTGTTTGAGTCGCTGGGACGGGTGCTCGGCAAATTCTTTGTCGTGCGGTACAAGACGAATCGATACGAAGGGTTGAGCTTCACGGACTTGCTGTTCAGCTTGGACCTTGTGTCAAAAGTCCAGGAAAAAGAGCGAGAGCGGGAGACGAAAGAGAAGGAAGAGCTGGCAGCGCGAGGTATCCCGACTGTCCGGCACTTTGCTCCTGATGAGGAAGAGAAGCGGTTGAGTGACTTGGCATTCTACTGCAGATTGGCGATTGGCATCTATGGCTGGCCTATATACGTGTGGTACTCCCCGTGCTATTGGTTTCGGATCTTCGGGTGCTTCAAGAAACCCCTAGACGACCAAGTCTTTGAGCATGACAACTTTCTGCATGGCAACCGCTCCAGCTTCGTTCACTACACCGGCGTCAAGGATGCGGATCTTGTGTACCTCAACTGTCACAATTTTGTGTTCCAGGCGCCGTACTGCATTGTAAGGGACAAACAGCGCAAGGAGCTCATCATTAGCGTGCGTGGCAGTCTGTCTTTCTATGACTTTGTGACCGACGGGTTGGCGCAGATCGTGCACATGGATCCCAGTGAACTACCGGATGATGTTCCATACTCATTCGATACTCGAACGCACATGGGCATGCTTCGTACCGCACGTCAGATATTTAGAGATCTCCAGGAAGGCACCCGAAAGGTTGTGTTCTGGGACTTTGCGACTGCAAACTGCCCAGCCAACGGATTTACAGATGACGAGGAAAAGGACTGGAAGATTGTGGTGTGTGGACACTCGATGGGTGCTGGGGTTAGCTGCATTCTCGCGATCTTACTGCGCAAGATCTTCCCGAACACAAGAGCATTTCTGTACGCGACGCCACCGTTGTTCGATCATGATACAGCAGTATGGACTAAAACATTTGCAACGACCGTGGTATACGGCGACGACATTGTGCCACGGTTATCCATCTCGAATATGGCTCAGTTGCGTGATGAGATGGCTATTCACTATGACGCCGTGGCCAACGAACCGCTGTTTAAGGTCAAGTACGGCGTGCACGGGCAGCTGAAAAAGCTAGAGGAAGAACGTCAGCAGCCCGTTGAAGCGGTGGGTCCTGAGCCAGATAATTGTGAAGCTCCTGGTCGGCTTCCTACCGTACTTGAAAACGCGCAGCCACATAGCAGTGGAGAAATGGTGACAGATACAAGCTCAGGCTCGATTGTCAACGTCAATCCGTTCATCAGTAACTCGCGTAGGTCAACGGACTTTGGAGCATCAACTCTCAACGTCATCAATCGGCCCTCTCGCGAGCTAAGTAACTCGACGATGATCACGCTTCCGCAAGAAGACTCGACACAAGAAGTGGATGTTCCTGGTGAGATTGTTCACATCCAGACCGTGAAGATGGCGCGTCGCTGTGGCTGTACAGTCTTTCTAGGCGAGCAAAAGCTGCAGTACACGCTACGCGATGCGAGCTACTTCCGCCGCATTTGGGTCACGCCTCGTGCATTGCAGGACCACATGGTGCACCACTACGACCGCAAGATCCGCTATCTCGTGAGCGACTGCATGGACTTCGAGACGCCGGTGGCCGCCCACCGCCATAGTACAAGTGCAATGGCCAGAGCTGGAGGCTCCTGGGTCGACGATATTGTTCCTGACGACAGAGACGAGACCCCGGGTTCGCCTTTGGCAGACTTCAAGGAAATTGCAGCTGTCGTGTGAACTTGTCCACGAGGACGACCGTACAAAGTATTTAACGCAATTAGCGATACCATCTTTCGCCACGTCGAGTGCGTACTACTTCGATATACCAAAGTGTAATATGTGCAAGTAACCGACGATTGTATGTTTGCGACGCGAGGATCCTCTGAGTATAATATCAATCTACCGTTGATGTCGGATGGATTGAAATAAGGTGCAAACAGGGGCAAGGCGACGAGTTTTCGGGTTTTGTACCGACCCTAACCGGTTTTTATAAAAATGTCCGTCGACATGTTGTACAACGATGAATGACGCATAACGTCCGCAGTGTTCACCATAACAGTCTACACAGTCGGGCAACGGCGAACATCGCCCTTGACTAACCTCCTCCACGCAAATGAAACATCCGATTGGAAAGGCTCTTGGACGATTCCTGTTTTGCTGTTGTTGCTCTCTAGTGGACGGCAGAACAAGTAGCACGACGTTACAATTCCAGCTTGATCACTGTATAGCGAGTAGGCTCCATCGTTTGAGTGTGTTTTTTTTATGCCTGGCGACACCTTTGGTGGGTCTGCTGAACACATTGCGGACATCGCTGGGTGACGAAACTGCGTGAATGATGCGATAGACTTGGAAAGAGAAGTCCAGCTAGGAAGCTAGTTGTGATACAGAGTGAATTATGTAACAGACGAACTCGGTTGTCAAAATCAGAGCTGCATACGTCGTCGTTCGTGTACACACTAGGTAAAAAGCCACCTTCGTGTATTACTGAATTACGAGAGCTTGCACTTCTTGACCGCCGCCATTGAAAGACCGATATGGGCTGCGCAAGTATCTCGGTATATATGACATTCAAAGGGTTGTGACACGACCATTCCATCCGCAGAGCAGATCCGCCCCAGGACGTCCGCCAACCCACCTTGAATCATATCGTCGCATCGCTTTGTACTACCGGTATCCTACTTCGAATCGATATGCTCCAAGCAAGTCGCACCGGTTGCGCCCACCGGCTCATTTCGCATTCTGATCCGTGCTGGAAGAATCAGATCACGTTGCATGTCGTCGTCGTCGTCGAAGCTGCTGGACCTCGCGCTGGACGAGCGCGACTACGTGGAGCTCCTGCGCAAGCTCCTCAGTGTGTCGGTACGTCTCTCGCGACCCCGAGGCTCCACTGCTGTCACGAAATAGCGGCAAAAAGAGCGGATCGGGCGACAAATTTGATCACTTTGGACCATTTTTTGTCAAATGTTGCACCAGGAAAAGGTCCAAAATGCTCCGGGATTAGGGCTCGTGCCGCAAGAAAACCTCGTGTCGGACTTTGTGAGTCAAGAGCTGAAGCCATTTCTGGGGTCGGACCTCACGGTGGATCGGCTCGAGTTCGTCGAAGGTCGAGGCAATGTCATTATCAAGTACGCCCCGTCGTCGTGTGAGTCAGACAAGACACTGGCGCTCGTGGGCGCCCACATGGACGTCGTCCCGGCCAATCCGGAAGGCTGGCAACGGGACCCGTTCACTCTGACAGTTGAAGGAGACAAGCTCTATGGACGTGGCACTACGGACTGTCTCGGTCACGTGGCATTGTTGACATGTACGCGTCAACAGAAGACACTATTGATGAGAGGGTCTAGAGTTGTACTAGTTGTTGTTTGTTACTGTGTTTTGTGCATTTACTCAGTGCTATTTCGTGAGCTGGCCAAGCACAAAGTACCAACGAAGACACAGGTCGTGTGTGTCCTCATTGCGTCGGAAGAGAATAGCGAGATTGAAGGCGTGGGGGTCGAGAGATTGATGGAAACTGGAAAAATCGACTTTATCAAGAACGGGCCTGTGTTCTGGGTCGACTGCTCGGACAGCCAGCCGTGTATTGGCACAGCAGGAGCTATCACGTGGACGCTGAAGGCCACGGGCAAGCTTTTCCATAGTGGGTTGCCGAATTTGGGCATCAATGGACTCGAACTGGCAATGGATGCGATGACGAAGATCCAGGAATACTTTTACGAGGAATTTGGACCTTTGGATAAGGAGGTGGAGTACAACTACTCGTGTCCGTCGACAATGAAGCCAACACGCATCGAGTCGTCGGTCAACGGGCTCAATCAAATGTACAATGGATGATGATGATCAGGTGCGGTCAGGGGGATACGTATTCTCTAACAGTGGGTACTTGCGGGTTTTGTCTGTAGTCCACCATGGGCCAAGATTGCCGGAGACGTGCGTCTGTCTCCTTTTTACGACATGGAGGAGGTTTGTTGTGACAGTCAGAGCTTGTATGCTGTAGCAGGATGATGACAACGGTTTTTTATGTAGATGATTGCCAAGATGACGGCGTTCGCTGATAACCTCAATGCCAACATTGCGTCGCTGGAAGGCAAGCGCGGTCCAGTGTCGAAGTACACGCTTCCAACTGAACACATGGCTGGCAAGCTGGAACTCGTGTTTGATAAGAGCTACTATGAAGGCATCGCGTGCTCGTTGGACTCGATTGGATACAAGTACGCATGTGTCACTCGTTGCCACGGCTTGACAAACGTCTGCTTACGTGTGAACATGTCATGTCTGTACTTTAAGGGCCCTACATTCTGCGATTGGTGACGTTCTCGGAGAGGTCGTGCCATTTTCCATTAGCGGAAGGTGAGACATTGAACCGTTCCATGGACACGGCGGATGTGTAAAACTAACGTAATCGTTTACAGTCTGCCATTGGTTCGCGACATGCAACGTGGTGGCTTCGACTTGACGCTCGTGGGCTTTGGCAAGAGCTCAGTGTATCACGGTGACAACGAGTACTGCCTGCTGAGTGACATGAAGAATGCGATGAAGATCCTCGCGCGCACTATCGCCAACGTCGATGCTGCTCAAGATTAATCGATGAGTGGACTAGAAGGAGAGACGTATGATGTGCTTCGTGAATTGTGTGTTGTCCGCATCAAGTTCTGCTCGTTGTATGGTAAAGACGCTAGGATTTACTGTGCTTGCGGTCATATTAAGAATGAATGAAGGCAAGTGAAGCGTATGAGAAGCGAGATGTGGTGAAAGAGTTGACGAGGTCGGGTGTGTTTACAGATGACAGATGAGGTACCAGTCCCATCATGGGGACATAAAGTTCGTGTGCTTTGCGAGAGACATTCATGCGCACTGTGGGTTGTGAGATGCTGCCGTCTTCTTACGATGGAGTGCCTCTATCGCGCACGCTCCAGCCATGAACTTGTAGATAACAGTTTCATGGGTGATGCTAATCATTGCAGCAAAGATCGAAGACAGAAGTTTTGCGTGCGAGCTATTGGTGACAAAGTCGACGTCAATGGGGTGCCAGATCAAAGAATATGTGTCAACCCGGTTGTCGGGGGTTGAAAGTATTGCTTTGGCCAACCTGTGGAACATTTGGGTATTTGAGCGCCAGGCAGCAATGAGATATACACCTACCGAGTGCGCGGTATAATCTGGCTGTAATGGTTGCAGTCTTGATGCATGATGACGTGTTGGGAAGCGCGAGATGTCAGCACAAATGTCGACAAGCATTTAGTGTTTTCCTGCGAACCGCCTCTTTTACGATGCCGCCTCTATTAGCCCCCGCTTGAAGTATACTTGTGCGCGCAATCACCTGTGGTTGTTGGTCAAGCAATGATGAATGTGCAGATGCCACGGTGTGTCTCCAGTTGGCATTTGACTGGAATGCTGAACAACGTTTCATGCGCACAGGCTGAAGCTAATTCTGATGGTTGAGGTAGTTTTTCGCCTTCCAGAGCATCCAGAACTCGAGCTACTGTTTGTCATCGATTAACTTGACAAGCAGCGAACAAAGACGAGAATGGCGGTGCGCAACATGTTGGAAACCATCCAAAAGGCACAGCACCTCGCCGATCTGTCCGGTATCTCTCACTCGCTTCTCTCCACGCTCTCGTCTCTCGCATACACCACAGTGCCATCTCTCTTGACCGCTCGCAGAAAGTATCGTCGATCGATCACGCCTGTGTCCTTCCCACCGGGACTCAACACGACATTGTTGCTGGACTTGTAGAACTTGATCCCTTCTTTCATGGCCATAGCAACGTCAATGTACACGAACAAGTTGCAGTTCGCACGAATGCCGCTCACTATCGCGTCGTCATCCAAGACGTCGGTCTCAGCAAAGTGAATATGGTTCCTCTGCATCTTACACAGTCCCGAGTTCCAGATACTGTCCCAGAACTTGAGATACGTCCCGTGGACGCACATTTCGACGTCCCGTGGATCTTCCAACGGTCTCAGCAGCTCCTCGTCTTGCACGAATGGCAGCGTGTGCCCCTGATTCGCACGTACAAAGACTTTGTCGAGCTCGAACTCAGTCGTTGTCATGGAAAACCGTTTTTTCGCGTCCGTCTGCACCACTTGCTCTACTTGTTGCTCACTAAAGGACTGGAACAGTGGGAGGGCGAGCAATTGAGATAGTGACACGAATCCCGACGGTCTCATGTCCAGCTTCAGCGCTTCCGCTCCGTGGCGTAGAGCGTACGCCAACGTCTTTGACAATCGAACTTGAGGGGCATCCGCTTTCCGACCACAAAGTCGCGTGCGATTTGGTTGATGACGACGACGACGTTGTGGTGTGTGCGGCAAAGGAGCAGCTGCGGCAGTTTTGGACGCCATGGAAGGTGATGGACGAGAGACTGACAATAACAGTGGATGGCTGGATGGGATCGTTAAAGCGACTTGAAGTATGAGAATAGGAAGAGAAAGGATCAATTGGAGATGGACGGTATACGCGATGGCGAACCCTGAAGTAGATGCCACTTGTTGAATCATGTCAAACGTGCGATAGGAAATGTCCTTTTTCTTGTCCTGGTTCGAAGAATTTTCTGAAAATCATTCTGTGGTCACGGAACGTGCTACGCTTGACATTCGCTCAGTCAAGAGACGGTAGTGCATGTTCATCTATTCCACCCACTACACAAATAACGACGACGACGACGACGACGACGACGACAGCAAATGGTTCGTACGATTTCGTTCGTTGAATTGACGGACGTGTGGAAAGAGTGTGGGGAGAGACTGATGGGTTGACGATGTTGTCATGTGTGTGCTCATTTGCAGGATAGTAAACTGCCGACTGCGTTCCTGTTGAAAAAGCACTACTTGGACATCGTGGACGACGACTGGATCATGGACGCGCTCTCGGACGACGGTAGCGTGTCTGCGTTGACAGATTGTTGTATCGTTGGTGTCTATTTTGTGTCTCACTTATGGCTGAGACTGTAGACATTGACGTGCCTCCGCCATCGCTCGAGCTTGACCAGGAGAATGGCAGTGAAAGTCCTTCGGGTGTGTCACATAGAACCACGAAACACCGTGACGTCGCTTGTCTCTCATCTCCTTTTGTCGTGTGTCTTCTGCTGACGTGCTTGGCTCAGGTGATCCTGTAACACGGGCCGCTGATGGGAAAGTGACTCGCTGGAATGATGTGGGACTTGACCAATGGGTCCGAGACACAGCATAAGGAAGGTCAACCGGGTTGGTTAACGAAGGTTGTGACACCTCTAGCTGAGCAAGTAGTTGAGCACAACTTCAATGCATACGAATTTTGTCAACCCCGAAAGTGCGCGCAAGCGACGTCTTGTAGAAAGGTGTATACGTCAATGGAAGTAGCACGATCGATCGGCTCGGCTCGGCATCGCAACAGTTATCTCTGTCGGATTTATTTTTATACGATTTACTTCAAATATTTAAAATAATATTCCGAATGTACACTTCACTGTGAGATATTGAAGCCAATGCCCATTAATTGCGCGGCTATCAGCTGTACCACTTCTAGAGAATGTGGCTCAGTCACGATGTAGCCATGCCACAAAGTGTGCCTGACCCATTCGGGTACATTCACGCGACATCCTGGGCGGACGATTCGGGACCACCAACTTCACACGCCTCATTCGCCTATTTAACGGCTTGTGTGTACACTCAGCTTCATTCAAGTGCATTACCATCGGCTTTACTTCGGTTTGGGACGGTGACTGTCAGCTCGCTGCGTTCTTGTCACTTTGTCCTTCATGTATAAGCCAATAATAAACGCTCAATCCGTGGTGTACGTACGGACGTAGTCATAATACCTGACTGCGTCCCAACACCTGCGGAGTAACATATTTGCATATATGATTGCATCTACCTTTCATCTTCTGCCATTGCCACGGCATCCGCTTCACGCTTTCGCGTCCTTCGTCGATCATTTACCGCCGGCTATACAGCTTCTCAGTCGTTCCACTTTGACGCGAGGAGCGCGTGTGCTTGAGTAGCAGCGACGCTTGAGTTGCGCTGGGAGTGACCAGCGATCTAGAACAACGGATACCACAGAGTCAGCCGTCTTGGTAGCTACAATAACTACATGAATCGCAGAGACGTACTTGATAAACGGCTCCAGCTGCTTGATCGTCCACTTCTCCTGCATCTGAAACAATTGCTCGAACCGCTTCTTCGGCTCCGGGGACAGTTCCTGTTCAGGGAAGTACACAATCCGAGTGGGCTTCCCCGTTGCTTGATGCTGAACCAGTACCAGACCGCTTAGCATCTCCAAGTTAACAGACACGCTGTCAGGCACACGAAGCTTCCACTTTTCCATAAACAGATCCAGTTCCCAGCCCACGTCCGCGTCTGTGAACGCCACATGCTCCTGCTTGGCTTGAAACTTCGCCTCTTCGACCTGCTCGTCGAACAGCAACTTGGCTCGGAATGTAGCAACCTTAACTGGATCCAAAGTGCAATGATCCTCTCCGTTCACCAACGTCAGCCGACCGTAGAGCTTGCAACACTGACGGATTGCCACCAGCGGCTCGGCCAGCTCATTCAGGAACCATGTCATAGGAACACCTGGCTCCGATAACGCATCCAAATCATGTTGAACGATGGCATCCAGCATGTCTGCAAACACTTGAGTCTGGTACTCTGGATTCAACACACGCCATGCACGTGCTTCCTCAAAAGCGTGCATCTCGTCCAGCATCGTCAGCACCTCGTGCTCACTCACTTGCAACGCATCCACTAAGTCTCTTGTCGAGTACAGCTTATGCAGCTTTGCTCGCTTCACTTGAGACCCTGCAGTGTCACGCCGGGGCTTTTCGTACGGTGCTTCCAGCAATAAAGCCCGGAGCTGGGTCACATCAGGAGACTTGTGCTCAAGCTGTTCAGATATCGAAAGATTCTCCTACAGTTAGCACAAGTCCATTGTATATCATCGCGACGGCATCCATGGACCCACCAGGTAATGGAACCGAGCAGCTCCCGCAACTTGAATCGTCCTCTTGTCAATTGCCGTCTTCTCAAATCCGCTCCAGTCTGTGTGGGTCGTAAGAAGGCGTAAATTCGAGGTGTCCTCCTTGGTGATATAGTACGATTTATCCTCGGTGCACAGAACGGCTCGAGCGTCCGGTGCCCCAACAATGAACACCCTGCAGTACAATAGACCGATTTACAACATCATTATCACCACATTCTCGTCCTCTGTTATCAACGAAGCAAAGTAAATTCAAAGCATTTACGTACTTGCAGCCAGTGGTGATGGCTTGCTCGGTCTCGGGGTTCAGCTGCAAGAGTTTGTACTTGTCCTCGTTGAAGTCAGCGGCCGTGACAAGAACGGAATCCATGGTCTGCACGGCAGGAGACTAAAAATGACTAGAGAGGGGGAGAGATTCGGTCAAGTACGAAACAACTATCGCCACAAGTGGTGACAAAACGTGGCCATAAATGCCTGCACTTTGAAGTCAAGTGACAGCTTTGTGTGCAACTACCGGTGATGAACGAGGAGCTCCACGATAGCGTCCAGTCGTTCGGCAATGTCTTGACTTCCATCACCACCGAGCAATTCTTGAAGCTCAGCAGCATGCAGCACGCGTTTCAACTTGAGTAGATGAGGCAGCACCTTGAGCTCCAGAAGTTGAGACGCGACACTGCCAAGCTGATCGACGAGCACACTTAACAGAGTGATGGCCAGTCTCGAAACTTCTGCGTACTCGACTGCACCATGATCTGCCATATCTGAAGCAGCCGCTGACTCGTCAAGGGTGGATACAGACGGCATGGGCTCAAGTAACTCCACTACCAAGTCTTTCAACATTGGCAGCAGTCTGTCCAACTGAGTCTCGAAAACCGCGACGCGTCGTTGACTGAAATTCACCAGAAGCACGAGCGCATATATCCGCAAGTTCGACTCTCTCTCGGACGATACTGCTATCTCTTTCAATCGCCGTGTCCTTGCATCTCCTCGCATCTCGTCGTTTCCATCAGCTAAACCCTCGACTTCTACCGGCAAGTTGATATTCCGATGCAAGCACTTGATCACCGCAGGTAGCAGATCAGCAATAGTCGTCAACATCGCGTCATCTGCAATGACCACCATCCACCCAAGCACAAAGAAAGCATCACCTTGCACCCACTGGTTCTTTCGGGTCGCCATCTTGGCTACACTCTGGAATATCTCGTCCCCATACAAATCAAGCAGCTGCTGACCAGCAACTCGAGATATACTCAAGGACCCTACTGCATTCGCAGCTTTGCACTTGAGCAGCACGTCACGTGCGTTAAGTGCAGCAATGAGGTTGTCCAAATGCTCTTTTCGTGCACCATTTGCTGCCACTGTAGTCGTCTCCTCTCGGTTTAAACTCGACTGCTGCCTGCTGGCGTCAACACCCGAGACCACGAGTAACCGGCGAATCTCCATACTGAGACTATCCAGTGGCAGGGCGGCAATGGTCGTCAAAGCCTCGACAAACCGCTGCTTCTCGATTCCGTCGCCATGCTGCGTGGGGCTCCACTGGAGACAGGTCTGCAGCTGCTGGACATACGGAGTCAGTGTCAAAGAGGACTCCATTTGACCCAGACGACGAGGCTCGCGACCATGTAATTGTCGCAAGGAGAAACTAAAAAACCTTTTTCTGAACAAAACCTATTTGTTTTTTTCCGACGAAAAGTAAGCGCAAGTGCTGCCCTCTTTTTAACAAAAAGGACAAGTGCCAGAAATAACGAGCTACAAACGATGGTGGCCAAACGGCACGCGCCCTTTCAACCCAAATATGGCGTGGAACTGGGTCTGCGGGTGAGAACCCGGGACCCGGCGACAAACGAGGTCAACTCGGCGACGTGCATGTTTTGCCAGCTGTTTGGGCGTGAGAATAAGCCTGGCGCGCTGCGGCGGCCTACGGGTAAAGTAGCGGTTTTTAAGCCGCCGTTCCGCAAAGACGCGATCCAGTTCCACCACGTGGGACAGCACGCCACGCGATGGGCTGAATATTGCGCTCTCTTAAGTAACGATAGCAGACGGGCGTTTTGGACTTCAGCAAGTGGCTCGACGGACATTTTGGCCAATGAGACCAACGGGCTTAGCGACCGACCTTTGAAAACTGCTCGGTCCACGCCAAATCTATTTCTAGAGGTAACTTCAACTTCAAGTGACCGACCGAAACAGCGTGTTACAGCGGTACCTCGAAAGCTACAGGCGACACGGCATTGGTTGATAAACCGGGACATTGTCACTGTGCTAATTGGTGTATTCGTGCCATACAAGTCATCGCCAGTTACTGCTCGCGAGATGTACCCATTGCGTGCAATGGCTGGTTTTCAGGATCTATTGGACGAAACCGAGTCAAGAAGTGGCGACGCAACAGCTGATGACATGACGATTGCGAGATTTCGCGTTGTAGTGAAGAACCCGACGCAGTTTCAGCAGTTTATCGACTGTCTCAGTGCAAGTGAGTCACTGACGACTTCGGCAACGATATCACTGCAAGCAAGTAACAAACCTGTGAATGGAAGCTCAATGCTTGATGATCCACGACCGAAGTCATCTGTAACTGCAGCCGTCACGTATGCGAGATTCCTATGTGCGATCAATTTCCAGCAGATCGCAGATATTGCAAAAAGTAGTGGCATTTATTCGATAGGGTTGCAGATCGTGCCAATTGCACCTGCATTGCCCAATTCAGCGCGAGTGGGGTATTGCTTGCACTTGCAGCTTCGTGTGTTTGCCAACGGAGAAGTTACGAGCTTTCACGTGCTGTCGGTGCCGTTGAATAATTGCCATCCGTTGAGATTAGACGAATTGGATCGTATGTTTGACACCATTGAAGCAGCGCTTGACGTGGTCGTGCCGCGATGGCGGAATCTCGTGCTTGCCGTAATACTTGAGCGCGAAGGCCCCGCAGCTCAAGAGGCACGGACGGGGCTGTGCAATGCATTGATCGGTCGCTTCGAGACTATTCTAAAGCCTGGATTTTTGAAGGTATGCTGCGTTGCTCGGCAGCTCGACTCGCTCATGCAACACTTCTTCAGCGAGATTCTAGGCAGTGACGAAGTGTACACAGAACTCACGGCGCTAGTCGCTTACATAAGTCGGCAACGCGCATTGCTGAGCACGATGAAGACAGAAGCTCCATCGTCTGGCGATAATCGATGGAGATCAATCGCAAGTGTCATGATTTGGTTCCGACGCTATAGCGTGAGTATTCGGGAATATCTTAAGATTCATCATGCGACTTGTTCCCCTCACGACACGTGGTGGATTCGCGTCATCTTAGCTGCGCGAGTCAGCCAGGAAGTTGTACCAATGTTGCACGAGTTGTCGAATTTCTCTACAACGACGGTGTACCCTGAGGATGCCGTTGTCAAGCTGCGTGCATCCTTGGTCGACTGGTTCAGTATCTCTGGGCCACTGGAATGTAACGAGTCACCTGCGACAAAGACTGCAACTGGACCTCACAATGATAGCTCCGTCATTTCGAAGGACGGCAAGTATTTGGTCAGCAGCAATGGTGTTTTTGCAGCATTGGAAGATCTGGGATCAATCATTGCCGATATGCTGCGTGCTGCCAAGAACAAGGACGAATTCGCCCAGTCAATGTTCAAATCTACAGTAGACGAAATAGCTGCCAGCGTCGTCGACCTCGTTGCTGGTCTAACTGCAATCAAGGTCGCCATGGATGGATTCAGTGCGACGCTGTCAGATTTACCTGCAGTACTTCCCCAAGATCTCGTGAAAATGCGTGGGCAACAATTTACGAAGACGGTCGTGCCTCACATAGAGCGGCTTCGTCTAGCAGGCTGGACACGGCAAGAGATCGAATGGATTGAGCAGGAATTCCAGGATTTGCATGGGGCATACTTCCGCGAGACGTCTTTGAAGCTGACACTGGAGTCGTGCGCGAACACCAGTTCATTTCGTGATTCGTGGAGTTGTCTCCAGGGTCGGTTTACACATTTACGGCACTTTTGCGAAATGATGGCGACAGCTTATCCGCTTAGTGGCACCTGGCACGACATCAACAATGTATTTGTATCCGGCTCAAACTCGTTGGACACAGCATCATCTATCACTAAATTACCCGGAAACTTGGAAACCGACGTCTCGGACCTATCAGTTCAAGCTGTTCTCCAAGCCAAACAATTTCGACGACTACAGGCTGTGAGACTGCATGTGCATTTTTAGTCTGCACCACAATGGCTCAAAAAGCGCGATCAAAACGCCACGACATGCAATACAAAGTGCAAGTCAATGCAATGATGAAAACGACGTATCTCTTCTTGCTTCGGTCAATTTGTGTAGCACTCTGCCATTACCACTTTCCATATTTTCCTCCCATTCGCTCTCACCAGATTCGCTCTCGAAAGTATCACTGATAAGAAAATCACACGAACGCCAAAATTCACAAAGCAAAGCTTCATCTCTCACAATACACGAATTTCAGTTAGAACCTCTCCAAATTCATACCTCGCAGTGCGTCGCACACCCCATAAAAAACTCTCAAACCACCCCACAATATATTACTCCAAAACTACTACTACTCCAGCTACTACTACTTGTACTACTATTATATTGCACGTCAGTCCGTCACCTTTGTGTTGCATTGTACCGAATCAAATGGCTTCAATACCAGGCGGCCGGGACCCCGAGGCGCCAGCGTCTCCTCGGTCCGACACAGCGAGCGGCCACGACACAGACACGCCCGGCCACGTCCGACGTGCCGACAAGCGCAAGTTCCTCCACACGACCGCAGCGCAGCGCCAGTGCCTCCTCGAGTGGCTCGAGCTGCCAGGCAACTTTGAGCTGCTCACGAAACCCGTGAGCGCCCAACTGAACGACCCGTCAACGGCGTCGCCCCGTCTGAAGCGGCTCAAAAAGATGGACGGGTACCGGTCCATGGCGCTGTACATGAATCAAGTGGCCCACACCGAGTGGTCCGAAAAGACTGCCCGTAGTCGGTTTGAGAGTTTTATGGCCGCGTACCGGAAAGCGAAACGGCAGAGTCCAAACGACTTGCCCTCGTTTTATCGGAGGGTGGACGCTCTATTTGGCCCCGACCGAGGAGCGAGTCGAGGCCAATTCGAAACGACTTTTGGCTCGACGTCGGACGCGGGGGCGACGAGAGAGGAAAAACTTGGAGATGTCCCGGATCAGCTGATGGCTACATCTGAAAGTACTTCGACGACGACGACGACAACGGCAACTGCTACTACTACTACTCCTGCCAATAATTGTGCCTTGAATGGGTTGAGTGACGCGTCGACGTCGTCACCCTTAAGAAAGAGGGTACGGAGCTCTGGAGAGGTTGACACTGTTGGGGCAGCGGCGAAGTCCATGATTATGTCGAGTCCGCTGCAAGAGCGAGCACGATATTCAGGAGATGACCAGGTGTTGCAAGTGGAGAGTCAACGACTTGCACTCAAGCAGCAAGAACTGGAACTCAAGCAACAAGAGCTGCGGGCTCGACAGGAAGAGAGCCAGCAGAAACTGCGGGCGGAAGTGCTCACGAAATTGGTGGAAGCTGGCAAGTCGCCGGCCGAAGTGCGTGAGTACCTTGCCCTCATGGACCCAGTCGACAGGCTTACGCCGATTCGGCACTAAAGGTGTACGGGACATTGCGTCTCACGCTCTTATGCTCTACAATAGCTAGAAAGTCTCTCGATTAAGTCGATGTGGGGTCGGACTTTACATCGAGCAAGGGTCAACCACAGGTCGACAATACTCTGCGTGTATTTTGCTAGTAAAGTGAGAAGCTTTGCCATTTTGATACACTTGGCTATCGTGTGGAGATATCGAGTACTTGCATCGGGTGCCGGTTGGTTGATGGGGTCCATGTGAGAGACAATAGTATGTTCGTGGTAGAACAAGGGAATGATCTCCAGCTGCAGATCAAAGTTCTACGGTTTAGCTTTGCGGACGTTCGAAGTAAGAATTCGACCAACGTAGCCGCATCGTCTGGCTTGGAAAATCGTTTGCATTGTAGAAACCACGACGTAACTTTGGCAGGATCACCTTCTTGTGCTGCCGCAACAGCTCTTTGTCACAGACATTATCGCTTTTGCATACAATGTACTGGAATGTTGAAGGGAAGAGAGCGCTAAACTGGCATTTTGTGCTAAAAAGGTGGTTGAATGACCTCAGTTCCGTCCAATTTGTCTATGAAGACGTGAGACTTTAACACGGGTGCTTGGCAATCGTCACGTTGGTGTCGCTGGCAGGTTGCGATGTGTTGATCATTCATCCTTTTAGTCACATAGCTCTGTAGATCGAGCATGATAACATCCAGAGTCTTCACTTGGCAGACGACCAGACGATGGATTTATGGCTATCGTAAGCATTTTCTTGCGTTAGCAGATATGCTCACAAACTGCCGCCTCGAGCTGGCACATGCAGGAAAGAAAGCATATCGCGCTCTACGACTAACAGTCAGCGAGCAAGACCGATAGGGACGTGCGAGCGATGGGTCTTATTGCCCTACAATCGCATTAACATTTCCTGGACTAAGGAGCAAGCATTTGTGTAAAGCCCGTAACACAAGAAGCGATGGCAACTTCTCCGACAATCAGACCTGATGATTGAAGTGCGAGTGTCAACTTCGTCAATTTTGACGAAACAGCGCTTCGTCGTGCCGCAACTAAAGCTTGTCTTGACTTGTTTCGATACACCAGAGCTCAAACTGCTCACAAGACCCATTCAGCCATAAGTTCCATACAATGAGATACCCGCTCACAAGCACTGGAGATACCATGGACATACTACACGCATCTTCCAGTCTTAGACGTGTACCGCCAGCATGCTGCTACTGCAGTCATCAAAAAAGAGGAAAAGCACAAGCACAAAATACATCTAAAACCGAAGAGCAGTAAGGGGTCATAGCAACACCTTCACCACGACACACATACGTAGAGTCAAACAACCACACGCCGCGTTCTCTATGAACATTCAGACAAACAACCAGATGCTTCTAGCTACCAGGCTTACAAGGTACAAAATATCAATAAAACGTCCGCTATAACAGCACAGCACAGCAACTCCCGACACCCTTACATTGTACCACCTAAACGACCTTCCACACAAGCCAAGTCATCAACGCGACCACAAACGCTGCAAGCAAAGGTGATCGACCGCACCGTACAAAGACGCAACTCAAAAATCAACGACAAAGTGACAAATAGCGCCATGAACTCACTACATTAACAACTTCTCTTGTCCTGGCTGTTGTTACCTCGCACTGCACCGTTTCTTGCATCCTCTTGTATCAAACCAACAGTCTACGAAATATCGCCGCACAAACGAACAAGCAGCGAACGACATATGATGACGTTGCGAAACAATCACCAGCTACTACACCATCACCACCAAGATCCTCGTCAAGAAGACCCACTGCTCTAGACCTGCACACCACAGCCTCATCCAAACACGGCTCAAGCAACGAATTTACATCACCTGCTACTTCACTTAGTAATCCACGGAGCACCAATTCCCAACTGACGTGCAGCGAAAGGCACCAAATGCTTCTACCATTATTTGCGAGATGCGAACGGACGCTCGAGTCTAGATCTATTCGGAGCGTCCGATAAACTTCTTCAGAGTTCGCCTGTAATCCTCCTGATGACCAGGTAGAGATTACTATTCTTGTCCGGAAGTTGTTCACGCTCAATGAATCAACACCAGTCGGTTCTGAACTTCCGCCGGCCCGTGTCGACAGCAATAAAAGTCACCCGTGCTGCAACATCTTGTCGTACTCCATCCCATAACTCACACCGGTGAGAATAATGTTGAGAGAGATAAGCTGAATGCGATGCATTGTAATGGATGCAACTGGTGGTAACTACTCACTACCCGATTCGAATTGCTACGAAACCGAAGACGATGAGCAAAGTTGGCCAAAGGAAGGGTTGATACTTGGTAAATCTCTGCAGATATCGAAACTTTCGTTTCTCACGACGGCAAGTCCGTTTGATTTCTGTACTGACGGTTGGAAAAAGAGAGTCATTTGTGCTCTACAGCATCGACAACAAAACATATTGCGACTCCTATCGACGTTCGTTCTTCTTCTGTGGAGATGAAGCAATCACATGGTAAAAATGACCGTTCATCGTGTACTTGTAGATCAGTTTACTTAGTACTCACATGCTGCTCTCGCCAACGCTAGCGACAGTATGATTGTAACGAGTGCACGAGCTCAGCAATCGACTTCAGCACAAAATGGCTTCAAAGCTTTTTCATGCCGCCCTTTGGTTGACAGCGACGGATTGTGCTTTGAATGTGACGTCACTTGCTCCTCCCACGATGGCGCTTCGGATGTACTGCCAGGCAGTCTGTCGTTGATCTTTGAACACGTTGGAACTTACTTCTTTCACTTGGCACTACGCTGTAACTTGTATGTTAACCTCGAAATAGCTTGAAACCCGCTCAGCTTGTCAAGGAATACTTTATGAAAGTCCATAGGCGTCGCTTTAGCTTTACAAGCGCGAAGTAGAAACAAGCTGCGCCCCACTGTCAGCAATTATTTGGTGAAATGCGAGCATAGCAGCTTGCGACTGCCTAAAGCACTTGCAAGACGCTTTTGTAGCTAGTAAGTCCACGGTGACGTTGTACACTTGGATGTGCTCGAGCCACAAAGGAACCTATTGTCCTTGAGGCCTCCATTGTATTCGATTGACTAGCTAAGCACCAACAAACGCCGTAGTGGCAAAGTGAACAGAGGCAAAATTGCGATGATCAACAACAACCTCATAAAATATATTGAGCACGTATGGAACGGACAGAACACTCAAACTGAACGTCAGCTATCCTAGCTGGAATAGGTACCGCCTTCGCCAAATAGTGCATACAGCAGGCTAAGGCTACAAAGCAAAGTGCAGCGGACGGCTGTCAACAATCATGCTGGTGTCAGCCTGGCGAATCTTCTCCTCTTGGCTCGACACCAGAGCCCGAAGCCGCTTGTTTTGCTCTTTGGACTGGACCAAGTGGTGCTTTTCAAGCACTGCTCGCTCCCGGGTTCGACTTGACACGGCACGATTCAGACGCAGGTCATTCAACCGCTTTTCGAGTTTCATCGATTCCTCGCGGAGAAATGCCACCTCTCTCTGTAGTTACAAACAAGAGTAAAAGTGAGTGGCGTTGTCTTCTCAATAGCATATCAACAACCAGGCCATTCGCACCCTTCGAGCGGCGTAGGTGCACTTCTTCGTGCGCTTTCCAATCTTTGGAATCGGTTCCGAGTAGCTGCGGACAAAGGTCGGAATTTTCAACGGCTCCGGTGCAAGGAGGTTCATGAGGTCCTGTACCTCCAGCTTCGAGAAGCCCGGGTGTAGTAGAGCGTCCACTGCCGTTGGTGTTGACGAAAGCTTCAGAGGTGTAAAGTCATCGACAACCGTTTTCTCGCAACTCTCGAGCTCCATGGAAAACGGAGTATCGTCGTCGTCACCAGCGATCAAGCTGAGGAGTTCCGCGTCGAGCGACTCGAGATCGCCGGGAGCGCAAGTAGCAAATACTGAAAAGGGATCCAGTGACATCGTGATTGATGAGGGAGGAAGGAAAAGGCGGATATACGCTGCTGTTGGGTCAACGTGGGGATACACGAGGAAATTGGAAAGTAAGCTCCAATCGTGCATGACGTTTCAACGGCGTGCGGGTCATCAAGGACGTAAATAGGCTGTTCCGACTTCGGTGACACCTAGTGACCGTTCTCTCAACATCTTCGTGATGGTTGCCCGTGAGAACTCCAGTACCTTACAAGCCTCGACGTGCTCTTTACATTGCAAACCATAAGCTGCCGCAGTCCGCACCGAATAGTTTAGGAGCCAACATCCACTACCTCGACAACGGGTGGACTCCACTTCAGCGTGTTGTCGCATTGCTCTAGCGGAATAGGAAGTCTAAACCACATGATGGAGTGCAAGTCACTGCGGTGGACGCTTCAGCAGCATAGGGACTTTCCAGCTGATCGAAAGCAAATGATTATAAGACGCCTGAGCTATTCCATAGGACCTATCGAGTCACAGCGTTAAGTGGATGAATGCTTCCCCATCGAGCCCGGATGTATGATTCTTATCGGCTTCGATGCGGTTCGAACAGCTGAAGATAGCCTGCTCGAGAGCGAAAGCACATGAACATCGATGTATGCAGCGTACCGCATGGTTCGATCGAGCACACACTTTAGCAGCACAACTCGACTACTGTCACGCAACGTGTAGGCGTGACTTGGAAGCGGTCAGTCGCCCAGTGGATGCTTTCTTCATCTGGCACCTCTTTCATGACCGGCTATCTCGATTCGCGTCACACGATGCCCTTGACTCCTCTATTGATTCTTCATGCCGTCGCTCAATGACTTCTTGCAACATCTTTGCTGCTTAGTCTCCTTTGCAACGCAACCGTTCGACTACGTTTTGGCAAGCACCGTGCGGACTCACACGATTCGCAAATGAGTCGCTAGCGCGATAGACGTCGTCACGGAACGTGAAAACAAAAGATGTCGATACGGAGTTTGCCGGCCGGTCGAAGTTGGCACGTAAGAACACACGCAACTGCAGTTGCGCATTAACTTGCTCGACTGTCGAGCTCGTACTGAATGAGTTTGCCATTTGAAACAGAGTCAGCCCCAGTCGCACTCATGTCAACAATTGCGCCAGCGTCTTGCCGCGTGCTTTTGTCGGTGTTGTAGGAAGTGCCTTGTGTCGCCGTTAGTGCCAGGCTCATCCTGAGCTCGCGTCCTTTTGACCGCCTTGAAGCTGTAGAGCTGACGATCGACTGCAGCTGTAGAGTTAAGAAGCACCTTTGCAACTCGAAGTCGGCGATGACTTTTCACACTTTTAAGCATGCGTCTCGAGCGGGTCACCTGTAACCTGACAGAAGCTCGGACGACTACCATACGTGCTTGTGAGGTGTATCTATCGCATGTGCGTCGCAGGCGAGGTCGTGTCGTTCACGTGAATTGATTAGGAGATGCGCAGCGAATGTGGCGGTGGTGCGGTGTTTCGCTGCCAAGCGCTGTGTCCGATAAACGCAAAATGCTACGAAGATCGATTGCCTGCACCTTGATGAACGATGGGCGTTTGCCTGGAAGTGAGCAAGCTTCTCCTGACTCGTATCCGCTATGTAAAATGCCAAGACATGCCGCAACAAAGTGGAACACCTGCCGTGTTAACCATAGTGTAGTCACCAGGCTACTAGACTTGCCAAGGTCACCGTTCAAGCAATCCTGACACCTATCGCTCACTTTAGTTGCGAGAACGGACATGCCCCCCCGGTGCAGCTTGGATGGCTCTACATCAATCGATCACACCGAAGCTTGTAAGTGTCGAGTACGATGTCAATGAGTCTTACAAGCACGACTGCATAAGAAAGGTCTACCTGTTCAAATGGCGTAGACTACAAGCGTGGTGCACAATCATTCATTCTTATTGATGCTCAACTCTTTTGCTAGCGTTACATGTCCACTGTGATTTTTACTTTTGGCAGCTGAGGAGCGGGTGTGCCTGCATTCTGTTCAAAGCTGTCTGAGTTCAAGCCTTCTGGACCAAATGCTGTCGTAATGCGGAATGGAAAGAGACCAACTAAGCTCTGGATCAGACGAATGACTGGTAACAGGCATCGATGCATTCAAATGAGTAGGTCTGCTCGCGTCTCAGAGCGGATACTACCCGACATTGTTTGCAACAGCTTTCTGCCTAATTGATGACTACAATACTGCGTGCTTCCTCCAGATGACATCCCGAACAAGCTTATACCATGTGATTTGAATGAATGCACGTCCATCGTACAAAACAACGGAGCTCAAATGAATCACGCGGTAACTCGTGTGTTAGTAGCGCCTGCCTGTATGCATGTTGTGCGTGCCGTCAGCCCTTGCATCACTATGACAAGCAATGCAAACCTCTTCTCACTGTAGCAAACGCTCCATCGTTTGCTGCAATAGGGCGCTGAAGGCCCGCTGCTTCACCTTGAGGCATACCTTCGCGGTGCCCGACTTGTCGAAGGTGAGCTCGAAGAGCGCCACCACATTCGTCATGGTTTTGACGGAGAAATACGCGATCTCCTTGCCGTCAATGGGTCGCTTCGCGACGTAAAACACGTTGTTACGCCCCAGTTGCTCTGACAATGCGTCAACGCTACGTCCACCGGTTGTCAGCGTGAAATAGTGCTCGTTAGCCTCGGCGATACCCTGCCACATGCTGATAAAGTCAGTTGAACCCATGCTGCCGCCTTCAGTGAAAATCGCCGAGAGATCCATCTCTGTCTGAAAGTACAGCACATCACCACTGGAGTTGTTCTTGATTGCAACCTGTAGGTTGAGATTCGGCGCAACCGCGGCATTGACAAGCTGCGGACTCACGCCCATCGGCACAATGTGATTCGCAGTTTGACCCGGTGCCAGCGGCTGTGAGAACGTGACCGTTGCTTGCATTGGCACCACGCCAAACGTACTTTTGTTAAACTGGATGCTCACACCCGCAATCGGTGCCGATGACTGGTTTTCAAAGTCCACGTCAAGTACAAAGTTGCCGTTGCGTCGGGTGAACGCACCAATCATCTTCAGACCTTTGCCTTGTTGTGCAGTCATCAAAACCTTCTTTTTAACAGCGGAAGCACCACTGGCGACTGCCATCGGAGCAAGTGGGGTAACAGGATCCCCGAAAATGTCGACCAAGCTGGCGCTGGCTGACGCTGTTGGAGCAGTAGCGGTCGAAATAGGATCTTCAAGACAGAGGTCCCCCATATCAAGCAAGTCTACAGGTCCGTCAGCTTGCTGAGTACTTGACTCGCTTTCTTTCTGGACGGACGAGCTTTTGTCTTCATCATCATTGCTGAGGTTTGCGTCCTTGTGCTGTTCGCGCACATCCGCCGCTGGTGAACGTACAACGAATGCGCTCGGCAGCTTGTGGTAGACACTCGCAAGCGTCGAGATTTTCCCGATCAACTCGTCCAAAATTGAGAGCTCAAGCGCGAACGTGTCGTCGCTGATGACTGGCTTTTCCGCAAGCACGACGGCATGAGCTGCCTCTGGGTTAGCCGAAAGAAGACGCCAGTATACGTAGCCACGGTCACGCAAGTCCGGATTGTCGGATTCTTCTGTAGCTTTTTGCAGTACCTTCTGGACCATACCCTGCGTCTCATTTGGGTGCTTCAGGAACAATTTGACCGTAGCAGTCAAGAGTTGTAGCTGCACCTGGGCAGTCTCATCGTCAAACGAGTCCATGAACGACTCCAAGAGCTCGTCTGCATTATCGATACGCTCGGCGTACTCGCCGATGATCCAAATCATAGACGCCTTCGCCTCAGGTTCGTCAAGTGTGTCTAGGTTCTCGCATAGCGTGGCAATGATGCTCTCATACTGATTCGGGTACTTTCGAAAGATGTCCTTAATCACAATGATAGCTTCCTGTACGATGTAATTGACCTTGGTCTGAATCAGTTCCAGCAGCACGTTGATACACTTCTCCGCAGCACGCTTGAGCTTGACAGCACAGCGGCCGATTGCATGCACGGCACGGCGCACGAAATCCACGTCTACCTCCGTCGCGTATTCCTTGAACTCAAGCAGCACCTGTTCAATGTTGCGTTCCGAGACGAGACGAATAATGATCTCAAGCTTCTCCATCTTGACATAGATCGGGTCATTGTATTTGCAAAAGAATACCTTGATCTCGTTTGCCAAGATCGTCGGGCGTTTCTGCACGATGAGGTTGATGTTCCGCAAAGCCACGTACTGGATCTCCGGCTCCGCCGACAAGAGCGTCACAAGCGGCGGTCCCATCTTGCGCGACAAATTGCGTTCCGTCTCGACGTCTGAGACGTTATCAAGAAACTTCATAATGACCTTCACAGCCGACAGCACGACCGCTGAGTTTGCATGCTGCAAACGTGGCGTCACACGTTCAATGATCCCTTCAGCTTCCCGAGAGTCGACGGGCGTGTAGCCCGCAAGTGCATCAAGCACAAAGACCTGTCCCCATTCATTGCACTCATTCAGCGCTGCCAAGAGCTTTTGCAGCACAGCTTTTGTGATCGTAAACGCCATTACACCGTCACTTTTGTCGGCAATTTCCATCAGAGCAGCAACAGCATTGGCGACAACTGTCGGATTCGGGTCCGAGAGCAGGTCCCGCAACATGTCCAGAAATCCTTGTTCATCGACCATGGTCGGGTTGATATCATAGAGCTTGGAGACACAAATGGCTGCAGTTTTACGGACATAAGGGTCCTCATCTTGCAGGCATCGTCGAAGTGGTTCACACAAATACTCCGTGATCCGGTCCACGCGGATACACCCCATGGTTCGCACCGAGAGGGCACGAATCAGTGGATTGACATCGGCCGCGTCTTTAACAAAGGTGTTAACGGCCAGGATCGTTAAATCGGGATTGCTCTTGGCGTAATTAATCAAGTAGAGGTACACGAGTTTCTTGAGCTGCGTGTCCGCCGTCTGGATACAGTTCACCACGTCCGTAAAGAGCATCGACACGTCTTTTCCGACGGTCATATTAGCAATCACTTTCTTCACCGCGTCCTTCTTCTTCTCGCGACTGGGATGGGCCAATTCTTGACGCAATTCGTGCGTCTCGCCCTTCTTGGTCGTGCTAAAGAACTTCGAGTCGTTCGGACCGCCTGCGATGCGCTTGGCAATTGCAGCCATTGTGGGCATCGCCATGGGGACCTGCTCAGAGCCTCGACGGGAAGAGGGACGAGGAGATCGGTCGCTGAATGGAGGGACGCGTTGTGCTTGACAAGTGTCGGAACGGTCGACGGAGATGGCGAACGTGCTTGGATTGGTGGAAACTCACTCCATGTCACGCGGGGACTGAGCCTTTCGAGGTTCGTCCACTGGAGAGAAGGACTAGTAGGTGAGGGTTGGCACACCAGTGACTGGGTCTTTTTATGGGTACCTTTTAGGCATTTTTGGACAAGCACTTGCTGGTGTTCGAATTGGGATCGTGTGCTGTTGGATATAGTAACGGGGTTACACACGCGGTTAGTGAACCGGTTATGTTGTGTGTGAACAACAAGTGAAGACCGGTGGATCCGAGTGGTACAGTCTTGGTACCACGTACCTACGGTAATATCGCACCTTATCGGATAAGGATAAGGGATCAGACTTCTGTCATAAGATCGCAATGTAGAAGTCTGTCCGACAAGGTTTAATTGTTTCATTACCGTATTTAGAAAATAAATACAGTTCAATTCTCCTTTTTAATCGTTAGCCGCTAGTGCCTAGTCCAGGCTTAGCGTGTTGTAAGAGTGTTAGCATTGTAAAGGCGCTTACTCTTGTTTAACCAGTGGTGACTAGTTAGTGTGTGATTCTGTGAATCGTAGTCCCTTTGGAACCGGGATCGTTGAGCTTTTACGCTTGAACGACTGTACGTCGTTGCTAGTTTGCTATAACTAAGAGACTCTTTGAGTCTCAGACTTCCTCTGTTAAGGGGCGCTAAGAAGCTCCGCTACAGATATGATCGCTTAATGATTCGCTTAAAATCGTTCGAGGGCGACGGCAGAAGTGATTCACTAGAGCCTTTATAAGGTTGAGGAGAAAGATGCTAGAGCTCACATTTCAACATTGGTAATCCAGTCCAGAGAACTAAATCAAAATTTGGTGTAAGCTCAATACAGCAACGTTCAGCGGAAAATCATGATAGTCAATAACACCTGTAGAGTATATCTGTAACGGTGTTCCTCCGTTACATGATAATTTACGCAAGGAAATTATCAAGTGCGAATATGATGTTAGGACAAACACAAAATTCTCACAATATTGTCCTAGCAGATGATATTGCTCTACAGATGTAACACACTGCTCATTAATTGATATGGGACCGATGTATCAACCAATAAAGTCTAGCCACGACAGAAGCAGGCAATGAGTGGTGCGCACATAGTTGCAATGCATGTTGGGATTCAGAAATAATTGAATGAAGTTATATAAGAATAATAATAAGGATTGACTATACTAGACACAGCTCTATTTTTTACTTTACATAGTACTCTTGATCCTTATAGAAATATTTCTGGTGTTTCTTATACAATCTATGCGGTCGCAACTAACGACCCAACCCACGGTAATATTTAGTATACATATCTACCTACAAGGAGGGGACAGGCTGCACTGCACATTGTAACGGGTAACCAAAGAAACACACTGGACATCCAGTGTGGATCTGCTTTCACCGATAGCAGTTTAAGCGGTGCCTCGATACATCTATTAACTACGCAGGGAAGAGAAATAAATAGGAACGGACGAGTTGCTGGTAAAAATGCATTAAAAGTAATTGAGTCTTAATCGTTTAACCCATGTTTAAGTCTCAACTTAAATGTATTCGTCTACAAAAATGTGTGCTAAATCTCGCTCACCACTCAATCCCGCGTCCATAGTTAGTTGGACTGCTAGAGATGGCTGTTCTGATGACCCACATCAGCCAGTTAGTGAGTGTTTCTGCATATTACTAGCTATGGTAATATTCACATTTATTATCAACCTTTTGATGACTTTTAATAATAAAGTATCAAGGGTAATATTTTATGTAAAGGTTTACCCGTTACATCACCCCCTTTATACGTTAGTCACTTAATCACTATCACTTTGGTGTGATCACCGTTATACCACATCAGGGACAGAAAGTACTCGTTTTGGTCCGATCCGTTCATTTCTGGAACTTCATCGCACGGTGAGCAAATTCATGCGATGCGCAGCAGAAGCTGCTAAGAAGGCAGCTGCGCGTGCTAAAATAGCTGCTCTTGACGATGCTCAGCATCTCCCGGCAGACTGTGCTTCATCTGCTGCTGCAACTCCTCATGCGCCATCCGTTTCTGCAGAGGCATGTGGTGAGTGACCACGTGATAACGAGGATGCGTCCTGAGTGGAGCTCATCTATTCTAGGGAGTCGGACAGTTGTTCCGACTCGAAGAATACACCTGAGTCACCCGATGCTCTCGAGCGGGTAGTAAGACTAATGGTCACTACTAGATTCTGTTTAGTCTGGAGGATGTGCATGCTTAATCCTTCCCCGCGCCTGCTACTGCGCAGTTCCCTTCTAGCTACTGCGGTGATGACTTGCGCCGTCGTGGTGACGATTCTAGTGGTACTATTACTTCCAATGGTACCAAGACGGCAATGCGCTGCGTCTAGTCCCTGAACACTAGCCTCGGGTATAATTGAAAAGGCTTGTGAATGATCAGTCTGTCAAGACAATTCTTAATTATCAAATTCTATAATTTTAGGCGAGGTTGTCGCGCGGCCTTGTCATCAGCGCGAGTAGCTTTCAAGCTGAAATGAATTTTCTCGGTGCTTTTATTAAGCATCGTTGGTATAGTGGCAACAACTAAGGATAAAAGCTTGTTGCTGCTGCGTGAAACGCCTTGAAACGTAAGGTGTAGCACATTATGCGTGATGCCTGGCTACGAAAACTTGACGCAGCTCATGTCAGGTATGAGAAACGAACCTTGACGGGTGCGAAAGTCAGGTTGCACTATCTTTCTCGTGAGGTAGCTACGCCTCACGTGGGGCGACCCATGTCCGTGTTGTTTCGACAACACGCAGCGCAGCCAGAAAGACATTTACTCCCTTTTCTCGCCCAAGGCAGGGCGTACATCTCTTCTGAGATACGCGATGCGATTGCTAATTTACAATCGTCCACCCAGCGTTATGGACGCGTGTTTTTCGATGGACCTATAAAGGTATCGGATGTGTCTTGTCGTACTGGTGAACGAGGCTCTCAATCTCAATTAGTAGATGGACGTGAGGCTCCCAGCTGTCGTGCGACGGTGAAAATCCGCTCCAGCGAACGAGATAACTCGCTCGCTGCCCCTTCACGTCGCATGAATTTAGGATACGCTCTACATAAAAGCGTTTTCCAACGTGCGAGTCCACCAATAGCTGTGGTGAAGTCGAGAAAATTGACTTAGAATGGTTTGTTGGAGTTGCAAGTGGAGGTTATCCGTCTTCAACAAGACTTACAAGATCTGATCGCACCGAACAAGAGAGAAAGGTGCGTGTCTCTCGGAAGAATGGGTGCAACGCATCCTTATTTATTGACCAGACGACCGATCGGAATTTGCGTTCTACCAATTGGAGAACGAGCGTAAGAGTCGAGCCTTTCGGGGTGAAGTGGCTAGCATATGTCGCCAGCATGCAACACTACCGAGCCAGTTTATCAAACTGGCTCGGGTCCAAACGGGCATCATGAAGGTTCCTGAGCGTGTCAATTGTATTAGCCTGAGGAAGAGAAATCGTGCTGATGGTACGGGTGGAAACGACCTACATAAAACGTAAAATTCGTACGCATCCTTCCAGGCAACTCGATCGTGTACGCATTTTCTTTGGGTTGTGGTAAACAATACGGGGTGATGTACTTGAAAAATAGTTTGCTATAACCCACAGTTTTTTTAATGTGCTTAGGTATATTTACCGTAGACAGAAAAACTAAGTCTTAGCATTAAAAAAATAATGTTTGCTCTACCGTGTTTTTTTGCGTTCTTTTCTGCCTGTCCACAGAGCTAGCGATGGAGTCTTGCAAGAAATGGACCTTTGCTTCTCGTACTAGCTAGGAATTTCTGCTGAATCACTTTGATTTGCTGCAGAGAGCCTTGTGCGCATCAGTAAGAATTTATCGTCTTCTTCTTCAGCTAAGGTGTTCCCATTCTCGCAGCGGTAGTCGTTAAGATGCTAAAATTGCTAGCATCATCATTTCTATCGGATCAGAAATGTTTTCGTCACTATTGCAGGTGTAACCTTCTTCAATGTCAACTATATCGACGACGGCTATGTTCGAGTCTTCGATTACTTCTACACGTAATGAGCAAAATCCAGAGCGGTTTTTCTCGAGCGAATTAACCCCTTCCCCTAAATCAAAATACCACTTTAATTGGGTGGATTGGCGTGGATGCAGACGGCCATTCACGAAGAAAAGTGTATGCGTTGTTGACGCATGCACGGAGTCGTTAATCGCATACTCCACCTATCGGCAAAAATTGCTCTGATATGAAAAGGATTGGACTTATCCTCTTAGTGTCTCTTCAAGGAAGTCATTGAAGCGTTCCGTCTGACCAACAGTCTCGGGATAATCAGAAGCAGAAATAGCCAGACGTGTTCCAAGGGATCTGATACGATTACCTAAACGCCGCCGTAAAACGAGGGTCTCAGTCAAAAACTAGTTCACGGAGTCGATTGTTTGTTGGAATACCGTGTTAATGAAGACACGGACACAAACATGTGCTAAAATTGCATAGATAATTGCAGCTAGATGGACCGCGTTGCTGAATCGGTCTACGAGTACAAGAATACACATTTTAGTAACAAGCGTCCTCGGGAATTTTGAAGACGAAGTACATCAAAACGGACTGCCAGCACTCTATCGTAATCGGTGGCCTTAGTGCCACAAGGATGAAGGATTGGGCTTCATTCGTAAGCAAACTTAAAAAGCACGAATGTACTTGCGCACAAACTTATACTTTCAGGTCGAGTAAAAGTCGCTACTTGCCGTGGGATAAGTCTTTTCACGCTCACGATGCTCATTGGTTCGTGCATCGCGACACTGGTAAAGACGCGCAAGAGTAATCAGTTATGAGTAAAGCGACGACTAGAGATGTGACGCCCAAAACGGCTGTATAATGAATTAATCCGTTTGCGTCTTGTGTATTGAAGATCGATACAAGGCCGGT